TAAGTGTACAGTTTGCATGTACAAACAGATAATTACAGATTTGCAAGCCAAATGGTGACTTTCACTAACAAGTTTCCATTTTTTTCTTAGCTGTGTGTCTTTTGCAAGGTCATAATTAAGGTACTTACAAATATGACAGTGTTAGAGCAGCCCATGGAATGGGTGTCCCTAATGAAGCATAATAAGGATGTCCTACAAAGTAAGTTTGAGGTTTTTTTCCCTTATCATATTTTCTTAGGGACAAGCATGGTTCTTCTTATCAAATGCAAATGTATACCTGACCCCTTGTGCACAGCGGACCTGAGGAAGATGGACCTCTGAAAGGAACATGGTATAAATCAGTTGTCAAGTGAGCTTCATGAATGGAAAAGAAAATCATTTCTCTTGAAAGCTGAAGATGGCAAAAGCTACACTTTCCTGAGAGAAAAATTCAAATTACAATTTTACCTTTATCAGAGGCATTGCCAAATGTCTTTAATAAATGAATGTTGAATTTCTATATTTGAATTGTAAATTTTTATTCATGACAAGCCTTCGAAATTTTGTATATTTTAGAAGCATTGGATGCTGAGCTTTCTTTTTCAGTATGTACTTTTATGAACCATACTGAAGGTAGATGTAGAAATATTCAGTAAGAGGTCTTCAATGACACCAGTAAACCAGTTTTAGACTACAGGTGGAAATTAATAAAGGAGGTTTTGCATGGCAGTAGAGTCTGAAGCTTAGAATTACAAGAAAGGCAGACAAAAGCTTAGTCCCAGATGTTTTATAGTCCTTTCTTCTCTGTGATGAGTCCTCCCTAATATATAATTATTAAATAGTAAATGATGTTAGTATTCATCCACTTTCTTTCCTGATGTGTTCTAACAATCTCTGGGAACATTCATTTTAAAGTTTCAGTTATGGGGACTGATTTACGTTTAAAATTTTTACTTAATATCACTTTCCAAAATGTTCAGAAATCCCAATTAGCAGTTGACCATTATAATTACATCTTAATTAGTTAATAGAACTTGCAGGGAGGATTATCTATAGAGAAGTCACAGTCAATATATGGACTTTATGCATCTTAGGAAATTTCTGTATTGTGCCTGATTGAAAATGGAAGAAAAGAACTTAATGGCATGTTAAAGGGTTGCATTTTGGATAAATGCAGAAAAAAAAAGATTTTTTTTTCCCAGAATATTATAACTCATTGACTGTCATGTCTTGGTGTCTACTGATTTGAACTGGGGAACTTGCTAAGCATGGAGGTAAAAAAAAGAAGTTACTTTCTACTTCAAGGTTTCTGAGTTTCTGGCAGAAACCTCAAGAACATTTCTCCTAGTTCTATCTTTGGGTAAAACTGTTTTGTTAACATTTCTTCTCTCTTTTTTCCCCTGACCTTTTACATCAGTGTCAACATGCTCTATCCATCATTTCACCCCTTCTCATTTTAGGGTATAAATCAAGATCTGTAAAATTGTTTAATATAGGAATTTAATTGCCCTAGAAAAGGAACTTTTCTCTCTTGAAAGGCAGGGGAAGGTGGTGGCCCTTAAACTCCTACAGGGAATTTTAAAAGGAAGAAAAAACAAAATATGAGTATATACACTTAATTTATCTGGGCTTTTATTTTCCTTCAAAATTTGCTGACTGAAATGTAAAATATATATATGGGTAGATTCAAAACAAGTGAAATGCTACAATCAGATGTGGTTTGAGCTTTGACATTTTATATTTGTATCTTTTGGAAAGACTTTCTGTAGGACTCTTTGGTATTTTGGTATGAACCCAAGAGATATTATGGTTCGTATGTTCATCCATAATCACCTGCAAGAAAGCCAACTATTGTCTTAAAAGCAAGCTAAGCTGTGTTTTCTTACCAAACCCATTAATGTGTGGGGATGGAGAGTTCAGATAGGCCACCCAGGTTAAGATTAAAGTGTCAATATCAGGATAAGAATCTCCTTAACCGTTTTTTAAATGTTAATTTTCACTGTTTGTCTGTGTCTATAGGCTTACAATGTTAGTCTGTTGTTAGCTTTTGTCGAATGCATATTTTCTGCCTTGAAAAGAGAATCAGTAATGTGATCTTTTATCACAAAAGAAGCATGATATCTGTATATTGTATTACACATTTTCATCACATGCAGTGACTATTTTATGCTTAATTGGACATTGTTAGTGTTTCCATTTTTTTTTAGTTATGTAGAAATGTATTGGTCAAAATAGAGAGAGATCAATTGAGACAGAAAGTTGGGCTTTGTAAGTCTTTGTGTGTTCTCTATGGTAATGAGGTCACCTTGCTTCCTTCCTAGTTCTGACAGCACATCTATGTGACTTTGTAGAAGTCATTGTCCTCTCTGAGCCCGTTTCCTAATATTATAATGAGTTAGTAATTTTATTTCTTTCAGGATTATGAGGCGAAAATAGGGAGGGGGAGAGATAAGAAAGAGCATGATAAAAATGGATGTACATGAAAGTAAGCATTGCATGAGGCCTTCAGCCAGAGAATGCTGAAGGACCTTGAGAGAAATATGAGTTGCTAGAAGCCACACCTGAATTTATGTCAAGTTATCATAGACTCAGTTATAGTTGGTTAAAAAAAAAAGCAGGGAACGTGCTGTAAAACCCCACAAAAGACATGGTATTTCATTATGAATTATGCATAGTTCCTGGAGCTCTGAAATACGCATGATGTTTTCTTGAGGGTGATGCCATCTACATACTCAGAATAAAGGCTTATTGGTTTTGTCACTGGGAGTGGGACCATTGTCAGAGTCTAGGAGCTTGATATACATCTATTCAATTCTATCATGTCACTACAAGCAAACAGCAGGTCTGTAAGCTTAGGCTAGTGAGATAAATATTAAATTAAACAATTTTTTAAAATATTGTGGCATTTTTGGATTCATTCAGGATAGAAACTGAGATTTGTAGGAATTATCTAGACACTAATTCTAGCTCTGTGTTTTTTTTGTATCTAAGATTTTTATCTATTAAATCTACCCTAATCGAGACCTACTTATTCCCAACCAAATATCCTGAGTGGAAGTTTAAGGCAAAGAGGGGCATTAGAAAGTGAGCTTAATAAATGTAGGTTCATTAAGACATTGTTGGTTTGAAAATTCATCTCCAGTTATAGCTATTGAATCAGAACCCTTCCCACCACCATACTTATATCTTTTCTGAAGTCTTTTTCTCCATGACAGTTCACTCAAAATAATTATGATGATTCAGTAAACGATCCATGTTTTATGATTATTTGCCAAGAAAATCTTTCCAGAAACTACTTGTTTCTGTCAAAGATGAACAGCAGCCAGGTGGCGCTAGAGACAGTGGAGGTAAGACAAGCTGTTCAGCCACTTCTTGTTAAATGAATATTAATGATTTGTGTGAAAAACACGAAGGAACTATAAAATGTCTTAGTGTAGTATTTGGAAATAATGTTAAAGTTCGAGCCTTTACTTGACCTGAGATGGCATTATTTTTATGTCTCAGAGATACAATCTGAGATACAAATTTCCAGGACAGAAGGAAATCTATACTGTCTGTCCTGGGAGTCAACTATTGAAAACTGCTTACAAACTATTAAGAATCAGAGGTAATGGTAAATTCCAATGGTTTATTTTGTTAATCCCTCAAAAATACTACCAATGGCAAGGTCTTTGAGAATAAATATTAGATTCCATAGATTTTCAAAATGTCATTTTAAATTTATAATAGATAATGAATCATACAGAATTTCTCTAAAGTAGCATGGTTGATTAACCTCATGTTTAAATATGGCAGAAAAACACCAAAGGGACACATAATTGAAGGCTATCCATCCAAGAAAGTAGTTCTGGATCCTATTTTGTCTTTTAGTTCACTGCTCCATGCTAGGGTATGAGATAGCAGACTGCAATAATCCTAACCCTCCTTCCATCAATTCAGCTAATTAAAATGGAGAAATATCCATTTCAGGTATGTCCAAACAGAACATTCAGGATGGTCCTGTACAGGTATTAAAAAAATACGTCAACCTATTTGAAAAAATTAATTAATTAAAAAAATACATCAACCTGTTTTGTGGTGCCATAAATCTAAAATCCTTGTGTATTTTATATGCTTAACTTTTTCTTTGCTAGATAAAACAATCTAGTAGTTCTCAACCAGATGTGATTTTTACTTCCCAAGGGACATTCGACAACATCCAGATACATTTTTGGTTGTCACAGTTAGGGGCAGAGGGACAACTGACATCTAGCAGGTAGAAACCAGAGAGGCTGCTAAAACATTACACAACACACAGGAGGGTCTCCATAACAAAGAATTATTGAACTCAAAATGTCACTAAGGCCAAGGTTAAGCCTCTTGACCTGAGCCTATATTCCATTAGAAATGAGTATGATGTGAGAGAGATACTTTCATTCTGATGTCCTCAGGGTATGAGATTCAAAAGAATCTGAGACAAAAATATGTTGAGGCATTTCACAAAGGTGCTTGAGTGAACATTTCCCTTTAAATGACACTAGGGCATTTCACAGATATAAAACAGTGGTCGCTTTTCTCTCTGAGAATAAAATATAGCTTTAGCAGATGATAACTTGATGGTTCTAAAGGTCAGGAAGACCTTGAGTCATCTCTTTGAAAAGAAACAAATATATGTTTTGTAATAGCCAGTGAAAATAATGGATTCACAGACACAACAGAACAGTCAAAAATACCTTCCATGTATTATCTATTTGACCTTTAAGCATTTTCTGAAAACAAAAGGTATGAAGAGTTGGGTTTGCCTTCAGTTGTTAAATATGTCATTTTAGGACTTCTGACAAGAGTAGCCACAATCAAATGGCTTGTTTTAGGTTACTTTTTAAAATTTTGGTAGGAGTAGGTATTAAGCATTTTGTAATTGTTTTCGGGAATTTTAAAGGTTATTGAGTTCTGGAATACAGAGTCTCTCATGTTTTCCCACCAAACTTTTCCCAGCAGTGAATATATCTGGATCTTATTCTGGTTTTTTATTCTTTTTTTAGCTTCCTGAAATGACTCATGTTCAAACACGGCGACCCTGGTTGGTGTTTCTCCTGCAGAATTTTGGATTGACCCTAGGTTGGCTTTCTCTGTTACTCTTGGCTATATATGAACAAAACATTAAAATATAAGTTAAGAGTCTCAAAATCCTTCAAAAATGAATTTAAAAGGCTTCATTTATGTTTCTTTTGTTTTACTCTATAGTGACTTGTAAAAGAAGCATTTTTTTTTTACCTAAGTGAAGTGTGTGTCTTTTAGTTCATTAATATATTAACGTTATGATGCAATTTTGTGTTTGTAGTATATACATGTAAGGTTGTAAGGTTGTTCCTAAATGAAATTTTGTTATTAGCCTGTAACACTGTCATGGAAATCATACCTTTTTTTAGTTATTAGTAAATTCTAAGTTAATTTTGGTAAACTTTTAAAAAATATCATTTCCTTAATAAAGGATGTTTGTCTATAATATTTGAAGTGGACAGATGCCTGTTGGGATAAAATTTGCTGCAGATTTGCTTCCTTGATGTCAATAATATATTTTTTTTCTGTGAGATTATAAGCCATAAGCAAACTAAATTCCAAATAAATGTAATAAAATTCAGTCTTAATGTGGTGGTTTGTATTACCTTCTGTTACTGGATGTCAGCTTCTAAATCAACTCTCACAAACCCGATATAGTACAGTTCACTTTGAAGTATTTACCACTGGCTTGCAAATGCTCATAAATAAGCAGACCTGGGAAGCCTAAAGGATAATATGTCAGCGTTTTTCTATATAATCCCCAAATGAAATCTGTTCTAGGCAAGGAGAACTGGAAACAAAAGGTAAAGTAAAAATTGTTAAAATAACAAAGCTCAAGTCAGGCAGTAGATTAATGCGTCAGCTCACACAGATTTAACCAAGTATGTTTATGGGAATAATATTACTGACAAGTAAATTATATTTTATACCCTTTCTGAGGAAACAGACCCCTAAACATTATTTCAGTAGGCAAGTTCATGAAATGTACAAGCAATATAACTGATAACCTAGCAAAATTATTAAAATAGAGAATAGCCCTGGCTTTAGTCACTTTTCTTGAAAGATAGATGCCTAATATTTTTCTTATTATTTCATGATATATCTTGACAAGAGAAAAAGCCCCCTTTCCTGCCTGTGTGACTCACAGCACTCAATCAAATACATTTCTGCTACCTCTTACTCTACTTAGCTCAGTGCTATGTCCCACCCAAACGCGGTCGTTTTCAACAGGCTTTATTTGAGTTGAAAATGAGGTGGGCTGCTTCTTCAGTTGCTTTTAGAGCTCCATTTTAGGGGGTATCATGATAAGGGCAATAGCTCCCGAACATTGGCATACATTAGGATTAGCTGGTGGATTTATTAAAGTACAGACTTTTGGCTCCCTCCTGAGTGATTCTGATTCTGTACATCTAGAGGGGAAGGGGGCTGAGACCTTGATTTTGAAGAACCTCCAGGTGATACTAGTGCTGCTGCTGTGGGTCAGAGCGGCCCTCTGGGTTCCGCAGGTGTGGTGGAAGTAGGCACACCTGGCTCCACAAAGGAGCCTGCATACAACTTGGCTGCTGGGGGCTGTGTGATTTGGATTAACCCTCATACTAGATTTGAGTTTGCAGCTTGAAGTTTCCTCCTCTTGGTCCCCTTGCCTCTGAGCGCCGGATATATCGCAGGAGTTACTGGATGAGGAGTAGTACACACATATTTGCCTTGAAAGGTAAGCAGACCTGACACGTGGAGCTTTGCCTTCTTTTGTTAGAGAATAACTTGCAGTTAAACAAAAACCCCTTTGTGTCTGTCAGCACGACGCGGAGGTTGCATAAAGTAGCACCTGGCACCCTCTGTGTTTGGGTTTCTATGAACAAGTTCTGATTTTAATATTAAGCTTTAATTTAAAGCCAATTTAATTAGAAAAGCTCTAATGATGACTTTGTTCCAAGTTCCAGTTCAGAGGAGTTTGGGGCTAGCTAAATTAAAATTTGTGACGTGAGCTACTCAACTTTATAAGCTTCAAGTTGGGTGAGTTTAGTTTGCCTCCTCAGGTGAGGTTGTGGGCAGGGGGCAGAGGGCTGGAAGGCAGCTAGCTGTTGGGAGGGTTTCGAGGACATTCTTAGTGAGTATTCTGCAAAGTGTGCCCTGATCATAAGCAGAGCCCTGGTCATCGGAGGTCCTTTGCAGAGGTCATCCTAAAAATAGTGTGACATAGTAGCTCCCAAGGGCACCTTTCTCTGCTGACCGCTCCTCCCTCATGTCACCTTAAAACTGACCCTTTGCTAATTAATCCACATGAGGTGGATACGTTTGTTTCTCCAGGCCACCAACCCCATAGCTAGAGCTGGATCTCTAGCCACAACCATCTTAGTATTGCTAGAAATACTCTTTTCCTCAAAATTGAGTGGAAATAATAAAAATATTATGATATTATTTGCCTTCTAAATATGGACAGAGTCTAAATTTGGGATGGCTGAACATCATCATTAAATCATCTGAATTCTGTGTTACTCACTGAGTTTTGGGGTAAATGGTATTTTCCTTGAAACCAGATTTCTCAATAACGAGAGAGTATTTCTGTCTACGAGGACTAAATTTAGGATTCTAGTGTATTTCTACTTGTTGATTGATTTTTATTTAGTCACTGAACTAGAAATGGTCCTGGAGAAAAATTGAAGAGCAGATCAAACAGAAATCTTATTTGAATATCCATCACCACTGACAGGCCCATCTTTTGGGAAGGGGGAATTGCCCCCTGTTCCCGTGAGGCTGAATGCAGGGCCTGGGAAGATGGGTCTGCTGCTGTGCGCTGACCAGGGCCACAGTGTTATGTAAATGTGCCCATAACTTATGGCCCATACTACCCTTCTGCCCTGCTCCCCGAACCCAGACTTTGGAGGTGAGAGTGTGCCTCTCCCTGTAAGACACACCTCTCAGCGTTCTGCACATTTACAAGCTCCTTCTTCAAAGCTGGAGTGAAAAGTTGGATCCTGAGGCTGCTAATCCCTCGGGTAGACTTGAGGCTCTTGGAAGATCATTAAGAATTTGGTTCAAATCCCAGGGATGCCACCTTACAGCCTTCTAATTTATGTGAACAATAATTTCTTCTCTGTGAAATGAGGTTAAAAAAGGACTCTACCTCATAGGATTGTGGTGAGGTCCATATGAGACAAGTGCTTGTGTAGCACTTAGCACGATGCCTGGAAAATTCTGATGGCTCAATAAATATTAAATCATCATCATCATCATCAGAAACACTCTCCCCTCTTTTTTTAAAATCTCAGTTTCATAGTTTCCCTCTCAGGGCTCTACCTTGGGTCAAGGAAATGTCTTTTTTTTTGGTGGAAAATGGCTATCAAGCCTCTTTCTGTAACTGTAACCCTCTTCTGAAGCCTCCAAGCCAGCCCCTACCAGTTCTTCAAAGCTGTCCTTAAAGTTTTTTCATCATGTCCAGAGCCAGAGAAATGGGTCGGGGGTGGCTTTGGTTGACCCCACTCTGCCCATCTCCCCGGGAAGGCTACATCCATGTGCCATAACACTCACACTCACTGTGAGCCCCTCCCTCTTACACTTTGTTTCTCATAATAAGCAAAGACCTAGTATGTTCCACTCCAATCCCACTTCTGAGGACGGGGAGGTTGACTAATGGAACCTGATGGAGAGAAGCCTTTCTGAGGTCATGTTATGGTTACCACTTGATTTCAACTCAAGCAAAAAGTAGTTTGACTCTTCTTGTTGCCAGTGCACCCACCTCAGGAATGAAACCGGCTCTGAAAAGAGTCCAGCCCCATCAGGCTAAACAGACGCCCTCCAGCTGGCGGCACACATGGCCTGCCCTGGGCAGTCCGGGCCGCAAGGGCGCCGGGGAGGCCGGAGCTCCGTCTCACCTGGGGCTGTGCTTGCCTGCACTCGCGAGCCCCCATCCCCGGTGTGGGGGATGGGCCTCACATTATCATGCTTTTACTTTCATAGGCGCCTCTCGAAGCCCAATTGAAATTGTAGGAAGTTTGAGAAACTAAAGACATTTTTCAAAATAAAAAATGATCTTACCCCACATGCCATTGCTCCTTTGAAAGGCTTCTGAAATGGACTTGCTCATCCTCTCACTGTACCCACCTCCTCTGCCCCCTCCTTCCACAATGTTCCTGCCTCAAAGACAGACAGAGCCTCTGTCACATGGACTCCTTCCCTGCCTGCGCCCCCGCCCCCACACTCACACTCTTAATTCAGCTTTGCAAAGCCTCTTGTTTCATGGAAGCTTTCTTTCATTGTGTAATAACTCCCTCCAGAAAGGCTCCCCCTGCCCTCCAGAGAGGGGTGCTTTGTCTACTTGAACCCACCTGGACTGCCATCAGTTCCCATCTGTACCCTTGGCTTCCCTCATGCTTGTGGAAAGTATATAAGATTCCTTGTTTATGGATTAGGTGTTTCTCATGACCTCAGCATTCCCCTTAACCATCAAGCTATGCAGAAGGCCCATAGATTTACCCCACAACATTATATAATGCTGTACTGGACAGGCATCAGAGGTTTGATTCAACTCTTTATTCTTATAGTGGTGATATGATAGCAAATATTTTTATGGCACCATGTGCCAGATACATTCGAAGTGCCCTATGATAGTCATTTAATTCTGTTAAGAACCCTGAGAATGTAGGTCTTCATCCCCTTTTACAGATGAAGACACCAAGTCCCAGGGAGGTTAGTTAACTCACCAAAGCTGGCTCCAGAATCTGCAGTCCCAATGCCCATACCACACAGCCTCTACAGAGAGCAAGTGAGGTTCGGGGAGTCTAAATGGTGGCCCACGCTCTTACCTATGTAAAGGAGTTGACGTTGGACTTGATTCAGATCCCTGACTTCCAGTCCATCAATCATATCAATCTTTGCAATCCCCCTGGTCCTGCCCAGTCAAAGCTTCTCACCTAAAAGGTCTGTTATTTAAGGTTCGTTTTGCTATTCCAGTTTATATTAATTTCTCCCTGTGAGTATCTAGAATCTATTCAGCAAGTTTTTAAAATTGAGATGTAATTGACATATAACATTATATTAATTTTAGGTGTACAACATCATGATCTGATATTTGTATATATTGTGAAATGAATACCACAATAAGTCTAATTAA